TCGCGAGTCCGACTCGGCTCGGGTTCCAATGAGCCAAAGTCGTCCGTGTGTGGGTCGCCACAGCTCATGTGTGTGTGTGTGTGTGTGTGTGTGGTGAAATTAATCCGAGCCCGGCTCCCGAGTCAAGCTCGCCGAGACGGACTCGCGAGACAGACTTGTACGTAAATGGACCGCCTAAGGCAAAAACTGTCTTCGCTCGCTCGAACACTGGGATCGTGGGTTCGAATCCCACTCAAGGCATGGATGTCTGTATTCGTTTATTCTGTTTGTGTTGTCCTCTGTGTAGGTAGGGTCCATGCGACGGGCTGATCTCCCGTCCAAGGAGTTCAACCGACTGTGTATAAGGTACTCGTGTGAAACTGAAAAAGCGGCCAGGTCCAACCATAAAGGACTGCAGAGCCACAGACAGGGCCTAGTGGCGTAATGACATTGCTTGTTTATTGTATCTGTAATATATAGGAGCTCTTGTACTGTCATTGCGTTCTTTACATTGCTATATATAAACTATGCATGTCACGATGTGCACCTAATTATCAAGCGGTGCGCACAAACGAGGACCTGCTTTCCGAAGTAAAGGTAAACATGACCTGTGCTTATTTCAGCACAACTCCAGAAATGACGTGTAAAGGAGGTACAGCCTTCGACAATCATAAAGTGCTCTACAGTACTCTACAATGTTATTGCAACACCAACTTGCTCGAACTCGCGAGTCACGGGGGGGTCTCCACCCACAGTTCATGAACAGAGGTCATATAGTAATACAGAAGATAAAGTCGTCCCTGTGCTTAGTTAATTAAGCACCACGCTATGAAGATGTATGGGAGAGTGGAGGTATAGCTCCACTATTCTTGACTTCGGCACTAGATGGAGATGAGTCGTCAGCTTCACGACTAGGCGGCTTTACCCCCGGCTTAGTGGGTCCCATAGCCTGAGTGGACTGTGTGGAGAAGAGCTGCCGGAAATCGGACCCGGCCCGTCGCTATACCGACNGACGGTCAGCCGCCCTTGGCTCTGGTTTGACCGCCGGCCCCTACTCGACTAGTTCTTGAATCACTGACTTAACGTCGTAAGATAGCAGCACCGCTGTCATCCTCTCAGAAATTCACAGAATACAGTACAACCACAACTGGCACGGGAATAACCGATGAAGAGTGATATGTGACGCCGTGTAATCTGGTAGAAGTTTACCGACGTTTCGGAGTAACAGCGAACTTTAGTCTTCGACCCGGAAGATGGGAACTTCTAGTGACTGGCGTGTGAACTTCTTCAGCTCGGCCTTGACAAGCTGCTAGGTCAGTAAATCACACTCCTTCCCGGGGCAGTTAAACCCAGTTCACATCTTGACGCCCCGTCCCTCTGAGATCCGTTTTAATAAATATTCGCCAGCATTTGACAAGATTTCTTAGAGGGTTCCCAACAAATTTTTGTATTATATATTTCTTACATAACGCGTGGCCACTGCATTGTCCTGGATTTCCTTATCCCAACAACACAAGATGAAATAGGACACGCCTGAATATAATTAATGTCTTCTAACTTCAGTTATTCAGTAAGTACACTTTTATGGAACAATAAGTTTAAAATCATCATCAACATATAACTGAACTCCTGTTCAATCCAGTTTACAATAAATTAACTAATTTTATAGTAAATTATTCCTAAAATTCCTAAAAAAATTCCTTAAGTAACTTGAGTGTTGGTCACCTTCAATAAAAAAAGCCCGTTATTCCACCTTATCATGAGCTACTTCAGTTCTGTTCAGTTTCAACGGTGCATTCAACAGATCCGTGTATGTATCCAGGCACTACAGTTATTGCCTGTTGTTGCTCCATGTTTAAAATCTCCATCACAATTACAACCTAACCTGAAACACTTCCAGTCAGTTCATGTCAAAATATTTGCGAAAAGTTCGAACCAGGAAGTCCCGGAATTGAATGTTGAATCAGGATCCTGTTTGTGCTGATGGTGTGAACTGGTTCCTATAAATAGGCCTACCATACATTCATGCATTCATCAGTAATCTGTCAGACGACAGGTCCACAGTCTCTTCCAAAACAGTTCGTCCACTTAATGCGATCTTCTGTTTTTGGAAAGAGACTATCCAGGAAAAGTGATAATGTGGTAGTTTTTCCATTTGCTTTCCACATCGCAGTACAACAGCCGTTCAAACCACTCTGGTCACGCCTGTTGCTATAAGAACTTGAACCATCTCGAGCATCATTTGCTCTGTGCTTCAAGTCGCTGCTGATGACGCTGCTTCCGGCACCAGTTTTTGGTGTCTCTCTTCGTCTGATGCCTACCCTTTGACCTGTCCAGCAAGGGAGGCCCTGCCAGTAGCTACGCTACCGCTGGTATAGCTCTCAGGGTCCTTGGCATACTCAAACCCCTTCACCACGATAAGGTGGAGACACCAACGAGGGGCTACCATAAATACTAGCGCAGAAATTATCCTAAAGATTAGCAGAGAAAACAGTCTACAAAACTAAATACATAATATACAAGAAAAACCTCCGTGGTTTTAGTTCGCAAGCGAACTATACCGACCGAGCGACCACCGCTTGTCGGCGAAGTTAGTGCAAACACCTGCGGATAGAGGGTGTCACGTGGTCAGCGCAACGCATCCCCACGGCCGTTAATCTCTGTCTTCTGGACTGGATAGTCCCGCTTATAACCAAAAGAAAACACAGCCTTCTGTTGTTGTAGTTAATTTTTGTCTCTTAAGATTCTCCTGCCTAGCAACGGATGTTGTTTCGTTGTTTGTTTCTAGGTAGGTACCCAGCAACGAGTCTACACGCTACTATACTCGTACAGTATCTGCCAGAATCCAGGTAGTTTCTTCATTCAAGTTTCATGAAATTTTTAATGTTAGTTTAGAATTCATGCCAACTGACCTAATATTTGATACAGACAGAATTTGTTGTTGTGACTTCCGGTGGTAACTAGAAGTTTATCTATTACGTTGAAACATTTTAATTCGGCATTCAGTAGAACTACTGCGTTAAAGGGTTAGGACCTATGACCTGTTCCCACTCAGAATTAATTCTGAAATTATAAACCTTAAAGACATTTGGCAGAATTCCTCAGACGGGAGATCAGCCGGTCGCAAGACCGCTACTTCAAACGCCACACTCGGTCACAAACGGGCGGACAGACGAGGTGTGTCGAAGGCTTCCTGTGTTTACAACACCCAAACGTAAAAATGATTGAATGTCAGGGGAAACAGACGTAATTCATAACTCTTCACGAGAGCAAATTTGTTCGGCAACACTACCGTCCACTCTCTTCATGAACTACACATTATCGTTCAGCTCGGCAGTAAATTCCTATCTTTTCATGGAACCCCAAATTTAGTATCGTGTGTGAAAAATATCACCTCTGGACCCTACCCGAAACCAGCTCAGTCTAGTCTACACTCCACTTTCTAAGATTCCCCCCATCTACGCTTACTCACTGAACGTTGTGGTCGAGAGGGTGGCACTCCTACTTCGTATTGGGAGATCGTGGGTTCAAGTAACGGCTCGACAACCGGCTACCCTGAGATTTTTCTTGGTATTCCGAGGAGTAATAACCAAAGTAAGGACATGATCGCTTCTGTCTACACAATTTCCAATTCACTGTCCCAGCACTAGACGCTATAAGGTCAGAGTTACTGACAGTACCGTCGGGTCCTCTCTTCCTTCGAGTGCCTCCCGATCGACACGCTTTAAACACACATTTCCACCGTAAAAATCTCTTCAATAAATACCAAAGGAACCAGATGGGTCTCAGAGACCGAGCCTGAGCTACACATAAAACCACGCATTTCCGTTAAATTAAGTAGATTCCCATGTCATGACAGGCGTGCATTTATTTATAGTGTGTTTAAAGAAACTTAACGGGAGGGGAAGGGGTCTGGCAACACTCAGATGTACTATCCTAGACTCTGACATAAGGGACTGAGGAAAACAACGAAAAACTCCCAGGACATGTTAAGCTCCTTAATACGAGGCAGTGCTACCGACTAGACGCAGATGTTTACATTTTCCATATGTAGCAGCCATACACGCTGAAATCGTGGGTTAAAAGTTATATATTCTTTCCTTCTGTCCCGCAAAGGAGAAGCAATTGCGTTTATATCTACTTTTAAAAGAGTTTTGTTATGTATATTTCAAGTACTGCCGAAAAATACAATGAGGAAAGATGCAACAACACAGGACTGGGGAAAATGTATAATTAAGTTGGAGTTTCATATTCTTCACCAATATCATTATGGCGAACACCTCAATGAGACTGTGATGATGTATCATCATGTAGCACCCATGGAGACAGGAGAATATTTTGGGCAACGCACTTTACTAGAAGACGTAACACTGGAGGCATGGGCAGCGCTGAGGTGACACCTGGGTAACAACAAAGCTTCAGGGGTACAGTTCCTCCTTCTTGTGCCCTGAAGATGACACGCGGTCAGAACCCTGAACACTGAGTGAAACTTCAGCAGAAAATATCACGTCAGACCTCTGCATATGGATGGAGAATAATATTAAAATGGATTTTTAGATAAGTAGCTTATGAGATCGTGAACTGGATTAAACGGGTTCAGGATAGGGTTTTAATGTTAGGTTTTTGTGAAAAACGGCGATGAATATTAGGGCTGCATAAAGATGGCGATTTCTTGAAAAGCTAAGAATTCCTATAATTCTGAAATTTTTCTAGAACATTTATTAATACCTGATAATGTTTGGAGCGTCCATAAGGGTCCATGCGAGTTCTGCAACAAACTGAATGCGGAGGACTGCAAGGATATCCCTGAACTAGTGCCACTTCCTGCATACATAAACACGTCATGCAAATGAAGTCACTGGCTTCCCGAAGCCGTGTAGTGTGTACATCTTTACAGGCGTTTCATCTGAACGGTCGTCCCCAGCAGCATGTCCCTTAGAACAGCGGCTAAAGATGTATCAAACTACACGGCGTCACATCTATCTCCAATCTCGCGCTTGTGCACAATCTGTACCACTTACCTTCTCGATCTGAGCTAGCGCTACAGCTGCATCCGCCCAGCTGGTCCGGATGAAGATGTCGTCGTTATGGTTAGTGGCGCATTGTCGCAGTGTTTTGGCTCCCGCGGGCCTCTGCGTGTAAGATAGAGGGGGAGTTCTTGAGCTGGCAGTAGCAGCCACCATATTGGTCTGGTTCCTGCAGTCCTTTGCTACACCACCACTTTTGCAGCATTAAACTCAATATCCAAAATATCCACATTTAGACTGCTGAAATTGGGGTTGTTATCCCCTGTTGGCTCAACAACATTCACAACGGTGTGTGGTGGTGACGAGGGTGAAGTAAGTGCGCAGGTGGTAACACGCACTTTGTCGGAATTTAACGCTAACACTATAAATACTTTGTACAAATTCACGGAAATCTCAGAAATAAACAGAATTAAACGTAAAAGGTGCATTAAGTTTCACTACCTGTTGTACAGTCTAGGATACGCAGCAAAGGACACCTTGTCACTTTAATTAAACCTGTCCGTGACGGTCCTTACAAGAACTTTTGCCCTACTCCAGTGTATATTTTCACGATATTAAAGAAACTGACATTAATTTCACATATAAAAATGTCTGAACTTGTTGTAGGTTATGGTTTGCTTAGCCGACTGTTTGAAAATGGCGCGTCGTTCATTCACCGCTACCTGATTCCTTGTTCTGCTGCCCAACTGATTCTCGATATATGATCCAGACACCAGGACGTTTGTTTTCTTTCCAACGTGCAAGATTTTGGTAATATGTGTAACCCAAGTCTCGGGTGGGATTTAAATGATAAAGTTCGGTAGCAACTGAGCTCTCTCTCTCTTCAGTTTAAATCCTAGTTTTTTCAAACAACGCGCGTCCATGCTTGACATCTTCGGTAGAGAAAGTCTTCCTATGTTGGTGAAGGAACGCTAGAATTGGTGGTGGACACAGACACACAATCACTTCACACGGCACATTATATTGACACATCTATCTCTCCGTTTCACCCCCACGGCACATCTCACTTGTCGCAAGCACCGAACGCGACCAACTTCCACAGTGAACTAACGTGAACATCCTTTCACAAACTTCTACACCTTCCATCCTTCTAAAAATTCAGCCATAACTGCGAAGACATCACTCGAACTCACGAAACCTCACGGAAACACCCGAACGTCCTAAAATATGGTATCTGATTGGTTCCTTGGCGGCACGCGTTGCTAAGCAACCGAGGATCTTCCATCTCCTTTCCTCAGCTCACACTGGACCACACACGTGGTTTTTAGACAAGACAGAATGGAATGATGAGGTGATGCGGGGGGGACAGAGAGGGAGCCTCGGGGCCCTGAGTCTAGGAGGTTAGAACGGGGCGGACACTACATTGCAAACAACAGGCTTCCGCTGAGAGATCAAATGCGAACGTAAGATCGCAAATGAAGAGCTTGTTTAATAGCTACAGTATATGGTTTTCTGCTTAGTTTCTTTCATTAAATATTTTATTTTGACTGCAAGAACTTCATACCGATTTACGTTTGTATGGTTCACGGAATGGGCTACATACCAAGTTTTCGAAATTCGCTCGAATTTATTTAATTGTTCTTAATTGCACAAATAAAGTGTGCGTAGCTATAAATGGGCTATTTTCACCTATCCAATAACTGACGAGAATTCAAAGAAAGGGGTTACCCTAATAAGGCATATGGTCGAATGACAGTTATTTAATGAATTTCTCCAGCAGCTACAAAGCTTGAAGTAAAGAAAGTCTTTAGTTTGAAACAACATAAAAGCAGGGATTTGGATTAATATTTCGACAGGTACTTTCTAAGAATTTCCAGGTGTTTTCTTTGGGGCGCACCTGTCCAACTGATGTAGCGGTAACGCTCTACATTTCAGCTCTGTACGAACACAGTTCGGGCTACTGAATACCGAATACGCCAACACCGTTCTTCACGTTGACTGGCAGATCTAACTCTAAACATTCCCGTTAATACGAGATAATTATTTGGGTTAAATTACTTTTCGACCTCTCTATAATTTATTCTTCACTGCGACTTAATGGGCTCAGGGCCTATCCATCCCTGTTAGTGGCCCCCCTTCGGCATCGGGAGCTCCTCCGAGAATAAAGCGCCTGGGGCGTGAAACTGAACACTCAATTCCATCCAGTGCCAAGATTAAGAATATGCGGAGCTATACTTCTCTACCTCACACTTCTTCATGGAGTAGTACGTAATTAAACACGAGAACAGTTTTGCATGTATCCCTGTGTACATACCGACCGAGTGACCGCCTCTTGTCGGCGAAGTTAATGCCAACTCTAGCGGATAGAGAGTGTCGCGTGGTCAGCGAAACGAATCCCCAAGGCAGTTAATTTCGGTTTTCTAGACCAGAGCCGTTATTTCTTTGAAATAGCTCCTCAATTATCCTCACGAGGCTGAGTGGACCCCGTTCCAGACCCACTGCTTCTCAGAAAATCTGGTAGCGCCGGGAATCGAACCCGGGCCTCTGGATCTGTAGCCAGGAAATCTGACCACTAGACCACAGAGGCGGTCGGTATAGTTCGCTTGCGGACTAAAACCACGGTTTTCGTTTTGCTTTTGTATCCTTGTGTACATAAAAAAACGCACTTGCAACATATCGGCTTTATTAAACTGAGGGATACCTCAGGGTAGGGGCTGAACGGCCTCGGTTAGATTTCCGGCGTGGGAAGAATTTTCTCTTCTCCAAAACGTCCACGCCGGCTCTGGGGTCCACCCAACCTCATATCCAGTGGGTACGGGGTTCTTTCCCCGGGAGTAAAGCGGCAAGCAGTGAAGCTGACCAATCAGGTCCATCTAGAGCCGAGGTTAAGAATGCTGGAGAAGTACCTCCACTCCCCCCACGTGTGTTCATGGTTTGGTGCTTCATTACTTAAGCAAAGGGACGACTTTAACTTTATCTTCAACCTTTGTTAAACTGAGGCATTGGTAGCCCCCAGTGCAAATTCCCTCTCAAGCAGAGGGCCCTTGGCTGCTTATTCGTATTCGCAAATGCCCGTCTTATCTGAAGGCCGGCTCTTCTACCTGCAACCCGAGGAAGCACCATGACGAACAACAAAGAACGTAATTAACGGCGCCATTAAATAACAATAGAATCAATCAATAAATATGAGCCGGAATAGCTCAGTCGGTATAGCGACGGGCTACGAGCTAGATGGTCGGGTTTCGGTTCCCGGTAGGTGCAAGAAATTTCTTCCTACTCCACAACAACCAGACCGGACCTGGAGTCCAGGCAGCCTCCTATCCAATGGGTATATGAGGCTCTTTACCTGGAGGTAGATTGGCCGGGGCGTGAAGCTGACCACTCGCTTCCATCTAGTGCCTAGATCAAGAATGGTGGGGCTATACCTCCACGCCAACATACGTTTTCATGACGTAGTTCTTAATTAATAAAGCACTGAGACAACTCAATCTAGAAATGGGCTGTGTGGCTGGAATTGGAACGTTAAGGAAGTGTGGAGGCGTCGTGTAACAAGCGCAAATTCTGGTACAATTCCCACATCTGAATCATAATTATACACAAAACGGGTATCTCTCTGCCTACCTAGATGTCTGCTGGTGTAATATTATTTAGGTCTACAGATGCAGCATTGTTATTGCTTACGGCTATACCGCGTTGAAAACACCGGTTCTCGTCCAATCAACGAAGTTAAGCAACATTGGGCGTTACTACTCGGATGGGTGACCGCTTGGGAACACACGTGTTGTTGGCATTCTTTTCTGGAGTCGAGATAGTGCAGTCAGTATAGCGACTGGCTACCGGCTGGACGACCGAGGGGTCAGAGTTCGAGTCCCGATAGGGTCAAGAGTTTTCTCTTCTATACGTTGTCCAGACCAGACAGCCTCTGTGGGGTCCACTCAGCCTCGTGATGATAATTGAGGAGCTATTTCAGGGAAATAGCAGCTCCGGTCTAGAAAACCGAAATTATCGGCCGTGGAGATTCGTTGCGATGACCACGCAACACCTTCTATCCGCTAAAGTTGGCACTAAAACTTCGCCGACAAGCGGCGTTCGGTCGGTATAGTTCGTTTGCGGACTATAATCACGGAGTACGTTGTCCAAACCGGCTCTGGGGTCCACGCAGCCTAATATCCAATGGGGGTACTGACGGCTTGAAGCCGACCACTCACCCCCTGCTAGGACCAAAGTCAAGAAAATTTCGATAAATACATCCACTCCCCCATAAGCCTTAATGGCATAGTGCTTAATTAGTTAAGCACAGGAACAACTTGCCCTTACTTTACAGGTAGCAACTACGAGACCACCTGGGGAAATAACCCGAGGTACCCACTGGATAGGGGGCTGGACGGCCCCAGACGTGAAGACGTGGAGAAGAGAAAATTCTTGATCCTACCGGGACTCCAGCTCCGACCCCTCGGTCGTTCAGCCCGTAGCCAGTCGCTATACATATATATATATACAGAGAGGTCCAAAAAATGTTCTCACTCCTTGACAGTCAATATCTTTGGAACAAAATGACATGTAGTTACAATTCTTGCGCGGAGAGAGAGAGAGAGTCATTGTATGTGTTCGAAGTGACGTCCATCAGTGGCTAAACAGCGTCGATGCCGCCGAACTGCTGAGCGAACTACGGCTGTCAGTGTGCCCGGTGTGATGGCTGCACACGTAACGCGTTCAGTGTCAAGGTTCCCCATTGGTAGAAGTCGAGAGGTGTTAGGTCTGGAGACCGTGATGGGTACTCAATAGCACCTCTTCGACCTATCCATCGTTCTGGTGGAGTGTCATCCAAGTACGCCCTGACATCTCGATGGTAGTGAGGTGGAGCACCATTTGTTGTAGGTAAAATCTCTCATCTCGAAACAGCTCTCGAATGGCAGGGAAAATCGATGTCTGGAGCATATCGAGATACACCAGAGCACTGGAAGGTGGACTTGTTACTATCCGTGGGCGCCCAGATCTTTGCTTATGCACATCATAAACAGTACCGTCGGCTTCAAATTTATCCCGAATACGGGCAAGTGTTCGATGTGTTGGTGGCTGAGTTCCAAACTCATTCTGCCATTCTTGTTGTACCTCTTTAATGTTTTCATACTTCCAGTACCATTTCACTACAGCCTTGCGTTGCTCAAAGAACAACCTTTCAGCCTGTTATATTTTAGCGTCCTGTTGCACTGATTTTCATCCATGTTGTGAAGTGACAGATGAAATTGAGTGCATTACAAGACGGCCACTGTATACATATCATGAACCTTTCAGCCATTGTTGCTGCAGTCTTCTGCTCGCAGCGCGCACGGGGCACGACACTCACGTGACCCATGTGACCTTCGCCATCTGTTGAGAAAACATTACACTACACTACCGCGCAAGAATTGTAACTACGTGTCATATTGTTCCAAAGATATTGACTATCAAAGAGTGAGTACATTTTTTTGGACATCATCTATATGCATACACATATGTATACGCACACAAAATAGGTTTAAAAATATAGAACACAATTTCTCTTTCACGATAAACTTTGACTACGCCACCATGGAAAATTTTCTTTTGTTGTTCGGTACACCATTTTCATTAATGAGTATAGAAAAACGACGAAATCCTTTTGATACGTAAAGCCGGATTTGACAAAATCGGTATTTCACGTTTGGGCCCTTAGTGTTCTTACAGATTCTTTTTGGAAGATAGCATCTAGTAGTTCGATGGATGTATATTGCCTCCGTACAAAACAAGCTCCGTGGCTTCAATCCGCAAGCGAACTATACCGACCGGGCGACCGCCGCTTGTCGGCGAAGTTAGTGCCAACTTTAGGTGTCATGTGGTCAGCGCAACGGATCGCCACAGATGCTAATTTCAGTTTTCTAGACCGGCGCCGCTATTTCCTTGAAACAGCTCCTCAATTATCCTCACGAGGCTGAGTGGACCTCGTTCCAGACCCACTACTTCTCAGAAAATCTTGTAGCGCCGGGAATCGAACCCGGGACCTGTGGATCTGTAGCCAGGAACTCTGACCACAGAGGCAGTCCATAGATTTCTTAAATGTAATGAAAGTCGTTCGAGACGTTTTCTAGAAACTCGCATTTTTGTGCTTTGGGGGCCACACAAGGGGCCTTGTT